AAATTCGGTGCATGAAATTTGTACACTGGGAAGGGGGGAGTCCCCTCAGGCAAGCTTGAAATCTCTCCAATCCGGGACCCCTCCGGGTATTGTCTGAGTACTGGTTTAGGCCCGATCCCGGGGATGCAGCCTAAACCATCAGATGGACATCCCTCTCACAATATGGGACCACTGGCTCCTAACTGCTTACCTGCCTGGTTGCCCCTAACTGCCCTCCCTGCCAGCCAGATCACCCCTAATTGCCTCTGCCTACTGGTCTGGTTGCCCCCAACTACCTCCCACCCCTCAGGCCTGGTTGCCCCTAACTGTCCCCTGCTCGCCCACAATTGCCCCCCACTATCAGCCTGATCACTCCTAACTGCCCCCCCCTGCCGGCCTGGTCACCCTCAACTGCCCCCTACTGGCCTAGCCAACCCCAATTGACACCTGCCAACCTGGTTGCCCCCAACTCCTCCCCTCTGTTGGCCTGGTCGCCCCTAACTGCTTCACACTGCTGGTCTGATTGCCCCATACAGCCCGCTGTTCAGTAATTTGGTTGTCCCTCACTAAGCCCCCTGCCAGCCTGGTCGTCCCACACAGCCTGTTGTTCACTCATTTGGTCATCCTCCCTAATCCCCCTGCCGGCCTGGTTGCCCCATGCAGCCTGCTGTTCAGTCATCTGTCCGGTTGTTTCAGTCGTGATTGCCTTTGGCTTTTTATATATTAGGATATGGAGTATATACTGAAGACAATGGATTCTTGGGAGATTACAGAAAGCACCATTTTGGTCATAGTCACAATGACTGTTCAGTAGAAGCATCTTCTTTCATGAATCTTTAGCAAGATAGTCATAAATGTCATGATCAAGAATATGAATTTTATTATTAGTCAATGGAAAACTACTGAATAGCTATTCAGGAAAGAGACATTGCCCCCACCCTCCCGCCCACCCTCAAGATAATTCCAGCCAATTAGACCAAGGACAGAGTTTAATGTGAGTAAAGTGATTCAGGTAGCATCCTATACTTTGACCGGGTATCTTCAGAAGAACAAATATATCTTTTACTCAAATCTAAATCCACTCCTACTTATGTGGAAAGCAATACTAAAGATCATAACAGAAGAGTTTTAATATATCAACTTCAATGAACTATTTTAATTATTGCTAGTTTATTCAGCAATAAAGCCAGGCATTCTCTTAGAGTTCTAAAACTCTATAATATTATAACAAAAAGAAAGGAAGATTTGGGACAAAAACAAAATTATCAGAGGCAAAAATGGAGTAGGCAGGATATTCAGAACAACTTAGATTTTTTAAAGTAGGTTGCTAAATATTTTATACATAAAGTTAGAAAGAAAGCTTTGAAACAGACATTATATAAAAAGGCATTACATTAAGTAGTAATTATGTAAATATCTACTATAAAAGTTGTAAGTAAGAAGGCATATATAATTGAAGCTAAAAATACTGCCAATATGTAACAAAATGCTATTCTCAAAAGAAACCTAATAGAGGAAAATATTTTTTCATCATGAGCAATAATCTCTTATAAGCTGTGAAAGTAACTAGTCTTTCCAGGTTTTCCCTAAATCTTGATACTGTTTTGTTTTTTTTTTTTGTTTTTTCAGTTTAAAATAAAATTATTTCTTTTTTTTTTTTAAATTTAATTGGTCTCTATAAGTTAGATGCTAAGAATGAATAATCATTACTAGTTAAACAAATAATTTGCTTTTTTATGGTTTCAACAGAATTACAGGTAACTTATCAATTACTAATTAATACCCTTTGTTCAAAGACCTGGGAATTTAATTCATGTATATAAAAAATTTTATTAGGCCACAGATAAAATGTCATACTTGCTATGCTATTCTCCATTTGAAAAGGCAATTCAAGCAGTTAAAAGTTTAATTCACGTGGAATATATGCCCTAAGATTTTGCATGTATATATCAATTTTTTTTTCCTAACCGACTTTCCTCAACCACTCATGAAATAAAACAATGAAATGCAGTTTTCTCTCTATCATTCCTATTATGTGCCTATTTTTTTAAAATACTTTCCAGAATACTAAAAATCATTTAATTTAGTAATGTACTGCTTCTTTATAAATGTTTAAATTCAGATTTGAGAAATTAAAGACTTATTTGTTTACTTGTGGAACCAATAACAGGAAAACCACTGATTAAAGTCCAATGTTTGACTACTTAGAAAATGAATCATCCACAAATTCACTTGTGGGAAAAATGTACAAAAGGCTTCAAATATATGGAGAAGACCATGAAAGACATATATTAAAATAAACAAACATATTACAAAGGTGATGATATTTAAAGTAAACGTGACAACCCCATTAAAATGCTACACACGTTTTCTGCAAAAGGGAAATCTAAAAAGATGAAATAGATGCTTTATATAAAATATTTACATATACAATGTGCAAAACCTACTATGGTTAGTAACCTTTATGGCTTTGAAGAACTTGATATTTACATATCTTTCTTTCTGCATGTGTGTGTGTGCGTGTATGTGTGTTTTGTATATATTTTTAACAGTTGACAGCTGTTTTAGAGCATACAGAGATGCCAAGTTGAATGAGGGTCTTGATTACTTCAAGATTAGCTATCTAAAGTTTCTATTCATTTTAAGTGTTGTTAGTTGGAAGAGTCATTAGTCACTTCCTTGTCTCATAGAACATCAGCATACATTTACATTGTTAATGAACATTTGGGGTAAATGAATTAATGGCACTTTTAAACATCAATTCAGTCCTAATAACTCTGTATGTCATAGAAATGTTAGGCTAGGATATAAACGAAAAGCCTTTTCAGAAAAGGTAACTACTCATTCCTGCAACAATAAGGGATAAAATTAATTTAAAATGTTTTTTAACTACTTTTTTAAAGACAAGCCTCCATATTTAATAAACTAGATCAGAGAAAAATATGCACTTAAAAAACACAACACAAAATTCTATGCTCTAAAATCAACATTTTAGCCAGAAAATTTTGGTGAAACTATTTTAAATATGTCTAACCCCAAAACATATTCACTTTCATAATATCCACTGATATAAGGGTTTGCAAAATAATTGGACTTATTTCATTATAAGTGATTTTTGCAGGTATTGCATTTGGGGAAAAAAACAAAACATTACGAGGGAAGGCAGTATTTTTACCACTGAAATATTTAAAATGCTGAAACTGAAATGGGACAATAATTATTTCATTTTTTTTTTTTTATATTTCAAAACCTTAAACAGCAGTCTTTTTGAGTCCTTTTAAATAAAAGCAAATGTAAAATAAAATACATTGTATGGCAAATTATACTCCATAAAGCCAGGAGTTTGAAATAGCCAATTTAAGATATCAATTATTTTTTAAATTCCCAAAATATGAGTTAACGGCAGATCTTTATACCGATACAGAAAAAAAAAATGTTTTTGAAGTATATAAAACACATGTAAATTGACTAATTACGATTTTTAAAATATCGATAGATTTCACAATCCTAATATGTGTATTTCATAAGTGAAATATTACAAGGAGTTTTCTTAGTCAATAAGTCAACTTTATCACCTAGTGAATCACTCAAAATAAGGATAAGGTTTCAAAAGTTATCACATATTCATTTCCTTCTAATACACCATATTATTATTAATATTAAAAAAAATACAGAGTTCTAATATATACACATTCAACAAATTTTTATGGGGTTAGCCCTGAATATAGTTTACTTTTTAATAATCTAACTTTTAACAATTTAAATGCATAGATCTGTAAAAGTACAACATAAATTTCAATTATTTTTTTTTAAAGGAGAATAAGGCAAGTCTTTTAATTCTGGAGTAATCTCATCTTGCTGGAGTGAAAAAAAAATCCTGCTTAAGTCAACACCAAAATGCTTAGACTCCTTTAAAAGAAGTTTGACAAAGTAATTTTCCATTTCAACATCCTTATTCTATATAATAAAGAGATAATGTGCAAATTGACCCTCTCACCTTCACAAGAGGGCTGCCTACCAGGCTGGCAGAGGGGTTAGTGGGGGTTGACCAAATGACTGAACAAGCAGGCTGCGTGGGGCAACCAGGCTGGCAGGGGGATTCTTGAGGGACAACCAAACAAACTGAACAGCAGGCTGAGTATAGCAACCAGGCCTGCAGTGGGGTTAGTGAGGAATGACCAAACAACTGAACAGCAACCTGCATGGGGCGACCAAGCCAGTGGGGGCCAAAAGGGCAGTTGGGGGCAGTTAAGTGCAACCAGGCTGACAGAGCAGGGCAGTTGGGGGCGACCAGGCAGTGTGGGGAGCAGTAAGAGGCGACCAGGCCAGTGGTGGGGGGCAGTTAGGGGAGACCAGGCAGGCAGGCAGGTGAGCGATTATGAGCCAGTAGTCCAGGATTGTAAGAGGAATATCAGACTCTTACAATCCTGGAGATTGGGCCTAAACCGACAGTCAGACATCCCCCAAGGGGTCCTGGATTGGAGACTGTGTAGGCTGGGCTGAGAGAACCCGCCCCCCTCTCCATGCACAAATTTGTGCATTGGGACTGTAGTCTATAAAAATAAAAGCATAATATGATAATTAGATTGGACGTTCTTCTGGACCACCTTCCGGACGAAGGAAGCCGGGGCTGCATGGGAAGCCTGGGTCCCAGGTGCCTGCCGGCAGCCAGAGGGAAGCCCAGGTCCCAGGTGCCAGAGGGAAGCTGGTGTCGGCAGCCAGGGGAAGGAAGGCCTACCCTTGCACAAATTTTGTGCATTAGGCCTTTAGTAATAAAGTAATCGTTTAAGTTTATGGTTTAAAAAAACAAAAAAACAAATGGCAGTGCATTAAACATTTGTCTGTTTTTATCTATAATTGAAAGTAGATGTTTTGTGGTATTCATTCCTGTTAGTGCTCTAGCAGAGTTGCCCTGCTTGGTTTCTTCCACAGAATTACACACGTAAGGCAGGCAGAGCTAACTGAGGGCCCTCTGCTAGGTTTCCCAGTAACCACAGAACGCATCTGCATACAGAACTTACCTCCAGTTCTGTTTGAGTAGCTAGACAAGGGGTCAGTGCCCACTTCCTGCTCTTCCGGCTGCAGAGGATGTCTAGTTTCGGACAAGGAATGATACATGGTGAAAACTCGATGTTGTCAGCAAAAGTGACTACCTGGGAGATGAAAAATATAGGGGAAAAATGATTAATATGTTTTCTCTCTGCTATGACAAGGAATAAATACAAGACTAAATGGATTAAATGAGCATTACAGACATTAACAAGTTTTCTATAGGCTCCGGGCATGGTTACCACTCATTGGCAGTGTATGCAAAGGGTTGAAAAAGTGGCACTAAATTTCCATGACAATAATTTCTCCCCAAATCTGACCTTCATTGGTAACCTTTGTCTCCAATACTTAATCACATTGTCAATGAACTGCACAAAGAAGTTAAACTGTAAGTTAAATTATCACCACATGTGTAACATTCTTTTGTTTCACTGCCAAAATAATACATATTTACAATAGAAATTTTCAAAATATAGAAAATATAGCAAACTGAAATCATTCATAATTGTATTGTACTTCTGTTACCGTTTAATTTTACATATCCTTCCTGCCTTTCCTCTGGACAAAATACACACAGACAAACAGACACACACACACACACACATACATACATACATATGTATACTATATAATAAAAGTTTAATATGTCAAGTGTCCAGTCATCTAATGATGGGTCAACTGTTCAACCAATCAAAGCTTAATATGCCAATGATATACTAAGGCCACTCAATTGCTTGCTATGACATGTACTGACCACCAGGGGGCAGACAGCTGACTGGTTGACCAGAGGCGATGACATGCACTGCCCACCAGGGGGCAGATAGTCCACCAATCAACCAGTTGCTATGATGTGCACTGACCACCAGGGGCCAGACGCTCTTACCAGTAGGTTAGCCCTTGCTGGGGTCCAGCTGATCAGGACTGAGCAAGATGGGCCAGACATGCCCTTGAGCCCTCCTGAGGTCCCTCCCTGGGCTAGCCAACCTCCCACGTCCTCCCTGGTCAGCCAAACCTGATTTGCCCAGATCGGGATTGGAGGAGAAGAGGCTGGACATGTCCTGGAACCCTCCTGTGGTTCCTCCCTGGTCCTGATCATGCACCAGTGGGGTCCCTCAGCCTGGCCTGTGCCCTCTGCAATCTGAGACCCCTCAGGGGATGTCGGAGAGCAGGCTTTGATCCAATTCCGCAGGACACTCCCCTTGGGAAGGCGCCAGATGCAGGGCTCATGGCTGGCGAGCACTGTTGTAGCAGGGGGCGCAAATGTGCAACAGGCACAGTGGGGCCAGGATGAGCAGGAGTGGCAGGTAGGAGCTACAGGCTGGGTTGGTCTGTGGGTTTCAGCCCAATCCCCGCAGGCTACCCGGAGGGACCCCACCGTACACCAGGGCTCTAGTGTGTGTGTATGTGTGTATACACACACATATATATACACATACACACACACACACAAACACACACACACATATATATACACACACATGTATGTATACTTTTAATATGATCATGCTAAACATACTGATTATATGAATTATTGTTTTCCTTTCCATTAAAAATCTGTATAATCATTTATAATTCATCCCTACTATCCATTATACAGCAATAACAATTTAAAGTTACCAATACCTTATTAGTAAACAATTAGAGTACTATCAGTTATTCAATATTATAAACCTCATGATAAATACCTTTTAGCAATATCTCTGTATCATATTCATCATTATTGTCAGTATAAATTCTTATAAGTGTAACTGTTGAGCCAAAACATATGTATTTTAAAAATAAGTTTTGTGGTAAGTTTTTAACAAATTTTGCTCTAGAAATATTTGTGCACAGCAATTCATTTCCCGTAGATCTTATTTTTAAAATACATAACAATGGGAATGGGTAATTCCTATGTTTTTTGTGTGTGCATGTGTGTGGTGTTTTTGTAGTTAGTTTTTTCGGGGGGGATGGGGGATTGTGAATCAGCACAACAATCAAATTTCGTATTACATTTGCTTGGTAACTAGTGAGATTACTAAAGACTTCATATGTTTTCTCTGACATTTGTTCATTGCCGTGTAGATGGATTTTATTATTATAATTGGCTTCATGATTTGTAAGCAAGCTTTAAGTATTAAGGATATTAAACCTTTTTCATAGGATACACATATTTTTCTCAATGTTTGTCTTCAAATTATGAAGCATTTTTTGGACATAAGTAATTATTTTTATTTTTATGTTCCCAAAATAACCTATATCTCCTTTATGGTTTCTGTCTCTAGTAATATGCTTACAAAGGTAAGATTATATAAATAATGACCTATATTTTCTTTTTTATGGTTTTGAACATCTCCCTCCTAGATTCTCATGTCAATAATAATTCTCATCTACACAAGATTTTTTAAATTAAATTATTTTTGAACTTTCTTTTTTTTTTTAATATATTTTATTGATTTTGTACAGAGAGGAAGGGAGAGAAATAGAGAGTTAGAAACATCGATGAGAGAGAGTCATCGATCAGCTGCCTCTTACACATCCCCTACTGGGGATATGCCCGCAACCAAGGTACATGACCTTGACCGGAATCAAACCCGGGTCCCTTCAGTCCCTAAGTCGATGCTCTATCCATTGAGCCAAACCGGTTTCGGCTATTTTTGAACTTTCAAGCTATACTAACAGAAGGAGAGGATTAGGTAAAACCAATACTGGAAAAAACAGAAAATTTTTGCTTCTAACAAGTAAGGATTTCTAAAGCTGTAAATCCTACATCCAGAAATAAGATAGTTGTCAGTATTTGCTTGTATGCAATTCAATTAGCATTAATGGAATACTTGTTATTGTTAAAAAGAAACAGTAGGCCCAGAATGGAGTCACTAAACATCAGCAAAGCAAGACTTAATATTTAACCTAATTGCGGTTTTGGCTTCCCCCAGGAATGTAACCTTTAACCAATCAACCTGGAATTACCTGGTCAGCACTAGTGAGGTGAGCCCCTTCCATCCACATAAGTAGGTTAATAAAATATGAAACAATCTACTCTTTTCCCCATTTTGCCTAGAGAATCCTTACATTTTGTACACCAACTTGGAGCTCCTCTCCATTTGCTCAATGGGATGCTGCCCAACTCATGAATCATTGAATAAAACTGATTTTCAAATTTACTCAGTTGCATTTTTTATATTTAATACTATACAAAATGAATCTGAAGAATATAATCTAGTACAGAATACCAAAATATAGACGACTAGTTATATTATAAAACAGAATCTGAGAAATTTTGCTGAAGTCGTTTATTAGAAAGTGAGGATCACCAACACAAAGGCATAAGGGGGGTCAGGCAAAAAGCATTATCAATTACTAGAGGACCAGTGCATGAAATTCGTGCATGGGAGGGTGGGTGTTTCTCAGCCCAGCCTGCACCCTCTCCAATATGGGACCCCTTGAGGGATGTCCATTTAGGCTCGATCCCACTGCAGGCCTGCCCCCCCCCCCCCCAACTGCCCTTCCCTGCAGGTCTTGTCCCCCAAAACTACTCTCCTCTGCAGTCCTGGCCCCTTCCCAACTGTCCTCCTCTACAGGCCTGGTCCCCCACAACTGCCCACCCCTGTAGGCCTGGTTCCCCCCCAACTGTCTTCCCTGCAGGCCTTGTCCCCCCCAACTGCCCTCTCCTGCAGGCCTGGTCCCACCCAACTGCCCTCCCTCACTGGCCTGGTCTCTCCCAACTGCCCTCCTCTGCTGGCCCAGTCACCCCTAATTGCTCTCCCTGCTGTCCTGATCGCCCATAACTGCCTTTCCCTGCAGGCCTGGTCCCCAGCAACTGCCCTTCTCTGCAGGCCTTAGCCCCCCCAACTGTCTCTTCTGCCGGCCTGGTCACCCCCAACTGACCTTCTCTGCTGGCCTGGTCACTGATAATACCACAACTGCCCCCCTGCAGGCCTTTTTCTGGTGGCCATCTTGTGTCCACATGGGGCAGCTATCTTTGACCACATGAGGGTGGCCATCTTGTGTCTTGGTGTAACAGTCAATTTGCATATTACTCTTTTATTAGATAGAATAGCTAACATATACTAAATAATGAACATGTGTCAACAAAAACTACTCTTCATGCCAAAGCTGGTTTGGCTCAGTGATAGAGCGTCGGTCTGTGGACTGAAGGGTCCCAGGTTCAATTCCGGTAAAGGGAAGGTACATTGGTTGTGGGCACATCCCCGGTAAGGGGTGAGCAAGAGGCAGCTGATTGATGTTTCTCTCTCATCAATGTTTCTATCTTTCTATCTCTCTCCCTTCCTCTTCTCTGTGAAATATCAATTATATATATTTTTTTTAAACAAAAAAAAAAAACTACTCTTCATACTTCACGTATACTCATCATTTCATCCTCCCAACAACACTATCTTCATCTTCATTTTCATTTTACCAAAGAGAACTCTGAGTTTAAAAGAGATTAGTCTACAGCCACACAATTAGTAGCTGTTGAAGCCAGATAAACTTCGGAGTTCACAATCTTTACTCCTACACTATATTTGGCTCCCATTAGTCAATGAACTAGACAATTTATAAAATAAGGGGGTATAAGAGGATGGGGTCTGTGAATAATTGGAACATCCCTTATTCTGATTCAATCTTTTCAAGATAAGCTAGAAATCCAGAATTTTCTGTGAGATATCTTTACTTGTAAGGATTGGAAAGTAATGAATATTCTAAGAAAAAAGAACTTTATAAAACAAATTAAACACATTTCAAAATTGTATCTGGCCCATGGACTATTTTAATGTAAGATTCATATTCTCTATATATTATTATATTCTTAAAAAGCAAAAATAAACACTTGAAAGTGCTTATTCCATGTTAATTAACAGATTTAACATTTCTTTAATCTCCTATAGCATGTTTTCACATTATATCCTTAATTTATTTTTATAATATAGTATTCTTTCATTATTACAAACTTCACACGCATAAAATATACAAAAAAGGGGGACTTTATATATTCTATGATAAATAGACAAATACTGATATCAAAGTATATTTTTGAAAGAATATAAAAATCTTTCTATAGTTAAAATAAAATACTCTACACAGTGATA